TTATCTCAATAGAGTTGTTATGTTATATGAGTAATAAAAAAGGTTGGGCTATATTAGAGACCTAAATAGAGGGATTAACCCTGGACAGGAGTAACAACATAGCATCCATTATAATAAAGCAGGAAGGATGGGAGAAGATTCAGATAATCTGTAGGTTTTGTGATAGAAAAGAAAGAAGTTTACATCTGATAGTTTCTATCATAAAGGATGAGATAAATTCATCAATTAAGAGTAAGGGTAGAAAAGAGCTTGTAATAGGTTTGAGGACAGAGGATTTGGTATGAAACATTCATCTCAATACTCATTTAACACAATTATGTATTTTTATCTCAACCCCAAAGTCCACATCATTCTTTTTTTTTTTTTATTTTTATCTATTTATTTTTGCTGCGTTGGATCTTTGTTGTTACGTGCGGGCTTTCTCTAGTTGCAGCGAGCGGGGGCTACTCTTCATTGCAGTGGGCAGGCTTCTCATTGCAGTGGCTTCTCTTGTTGTAGAGCACAGGCTCTAGGCACGTGGGCTTCAGCAGTTGTGGCACGCAGGCTCAGTAGTTGTAGCTCACGGGCTCTAGAGTGCAGGCTCAGTAGTTGTGGTGCACGGGCTTAGTTGCTCCGCAGCATGTAGGATCTTCCCAGACCAGGGCTCGAACCCGTGTACCCTGCATTGGCAGGCGGATTCTTAACCACTGCACCACCAGGGAAAGTACAGCCTTTGGCTCAGGCTGATGGAGCCTTGAATCACCCATCTCCACTGCTGCTACACAACGACCTCTGCCCACAACAGCCATCCTGTCCAGCTGAAAGCAGGAAGATGCCCTCTTCCTACCACAGTCTGACCTCCCTCGAATGCTTACTATTGGCAGAACCCACAAGCACGGGAGCCAGGTAATTGTAGTCTGCAGACTCTTCATCCCAGCAAACTAGAGCATAGTATAAAAGGGTGGGTGAAAGCCTGAGAGAAAATAGGTATAACCGGTGGGAAAGCATTAGATGTATTCCCATTAATTTCAAGAACAAGGAAAGGAATTTAGTGTACATACTACTATTTAACATTGTTCTGAAGGCATTAGTGAAATCAAGTAAGCAAGAGAAAGAAATAAAAGGTATAAAAATTGGGAAGGATGGAAAAAAGAAGTAAAATTATCATTATTTACACAGATCATTTTATACCCAATAAGTCCAAATAATTAAATAGAAACAATTATTATAAACAATGAGATAATTTAGTAAGATGACTAGGTGGAAAATGAACAAACATAAATCAAAAAAGATGATATATATATGCAAATGGCAACCAACTAGAAGATACAATGAAAAACGGACTCCCTCTTATATTAACCAAAAAAGTAAAATAACTAGACAATAGAAATGTTCAATATCTTTGAAATACTGCTGAGGGGACAAAAGATGTGAATAATTGAGAAGACATAGCATACTCTTGGATAAAAAGATATGTCAGTTCTCTCTAAAATATATTTAATACAATCCTAATAAAATGCCCACAGCAAACATCATACTCAATAGTAAAAGACTGAAATCTCCTTGAAGATAAGGAACAAAAAAAGGATGACTGCTTTCACCACCTCTATTCAACATAGCACTAGAAGTTCTAGCCAGAGCAATTAGGCAAGAAATATTAATTTAAGAGTATCCACATTGGTGGGACTTCCCTCGTGTCATAGTGGTTAAGAATCCGCCTGCCAATGCAGGGGACACGGGTTCGAGCCCTGGTCTGGGAAGATCCCACATGCCACGGAGCAACTAAGCCCGTGTGCCACAACTACTGAGCCTGTCCTCTAGAGCCCGTGAGCCACAACTACTGAGCCTGTGTGCGCCAACTACTGAAGCCCGCGTGCCTGGAGACCATGCTCCACAACAAGAGAAGCCACCGCAGTGAGAAGCCCACACACTGCAACGAAGAGTAGCCGCCACTCGCCACAACTACAGAAAGCCCGTGCGCAGCAACGAAGACCCAACGCAACCAAAAATAAATAAATAAATAAAATTGATTCTTAAAAAAAAAAAAGTATCCACATTGGAAAGGAAGAAATAAAATTATCTCTGTTTACAGATGATGTGATCTTACATGTAGAAAACCCTAAAGATTACACACACACACAAAAAATGCTGTTAAAACTAATAAATAAATTCAACAAAGTGGAAAGACATAAAGCCAACACACAAAAGTCAGTTGCATTTTTATACATGAACAATGAACAATCTGAAAAAAATTCCATTTACAATAGTTTCAAAAAGAATAAAATACTTAAGAATTAACTTAACCAAGGAGGTGAAAGACTTGTACAATGAAACTGCAAAACATTGCCAAATTAAACTAAAGAAGGTATAAATAAATGGAAATACATCCCCTATTCATGGATTGGAAAACTTAATATTGTTAAAATGTCAGTACTGGAATTCCCTGGTGGTCCAGTGGTTAGGACTCCAGGCTCTCACCGCCGAGGACCCAGGTTCAATCCCTGGTGGGGGAACTAAGATCCCACAAGCCGTGTGGAAAAAAAAAAAAAAAAAGTCAATACTACCCAAAGCAATCTATAGATTCAGTGCAATCTCTATCAAAATCCCAAAGATATTTTTTGCAGAAATTGAAAAATTCATCCTAAAATTCATATGGGATCTCAAGAGACCCTAAATAGCAAAAACAATCTTGAAAAAGAAAAAAGAACAAAAGTAGAAGAATCACACTTCCTGATTTCAAAACCTACTACAAAGCTACAGTAATCTAAACAGTATAGGGACTACCCTGGTGGCGCAGTGGTTAAGACTCCATGCTCCCAATGCAGGGGGCCTGGGTTTGATCCCTGGTCAGGGAACTAGATCCTACACACGCATGCCCCAACTAAGAGTTTGCTTGCCACAACTAAGGAGCCAGTGATCCACAACTAAGGAGCCCATGAGCCACAACTAAGGAGCACGCCTGCTACAACTAAGACCTGGCGCAACCAAATAAATAAATCTACATTAAAAAAAAAAAACAGTACAGTATTAGATAGGGAATTCCCTGGTGGTCCAGTGGTTAAGACTCTGCACTTCCACTGCAAGGGCCATGGGTTCAATCCCTGGTCGGGGAACTAAGATCCTGCATGCCATGTGGCCAAAAACAAAAAACAGTATGGTATTGGAGTAAAGACAGACGTATAAAGCAGTACAATAGAATAGAATCCAAAAATAAACCCTCATAAGACAGCAAAGGCACAGGTAACAAAGAAAAAATAGACAAATTGGACTTTGTGAAATTTTTTAAATTTTGTACATCAAAAGACACTATCCCCAAAGTAAAAAGGCAACCCACAGAATGGGGGAAAACATTTGCAAATCATATATGATACCAGATTATTACCCAGAAGAGAAAACTCCTAAAACTCAACAACAACAAAAACAAACAACCCAATTCAAAAATAGGCAAAGGACCTGAATAGACATTTCTCCAGAGAAGATAGATGAATGGCCAAGAAGCACATGAAAAGATGCTCAACATCACTAATCACTAGGGAAATGCAAATCAAAACTACAATGAGATAGTACCTCAAACCCATTAAGACGGCTACCATCAAAAAAAAAAAAAAAAGCCAGCAACAATTGTTGGCAAAGATGTGGAGTAAACAGAACACTGTTGGTGGGAATATAAAATGGATGGTACAGCCGCTGTGGAAAACAGCATGGTGGTTCCTCAAAAAATCAAAGATAGAATATCATACGATCAGCAATTCCACTTCTGGGTATATGCCCTTGAAAAGAATTGAAAGCAGGGGGGGTCCCAAAGGGGTATTTGTACACCCGTTTTTTTTGTCTTTTGGCTGCACCATATGTGAGATCTTAGTTCCCCGACCAGGGATCAAACCCGCGACCCCAGCATTGAAAGCACGGAGTCTTAACCACTGGACCACCAGGGAAGTCCCCCATAGCAGCATTATTGACAGTAGCTAAAACATGGAAGAAACCCAAGTGTCCATTGATAGATGAATGGATAAGCAAATGTGGTGTATACATATAACAAAATATTATTCAGCCTTAAAAAGGAAGAAATTCTTCAATATGGTACAACATGGATAAGCTTGAGGACATTATGCTAAGTGAAATAAGCTAGTCACAGGAAGATAAATACCGTATGACTTCACTTACATGAGGTACTTAGAGCAGTCACATAGAATCACAAAGACAGAAAGTATGATGGTGGTTGCCAGGGGCTTGTGGGGGGAGGAGAGAATGGAAAGTTACTGTTTAATGGATACAGAGTTTCAATTCTACAAGATAAAAAGAATTATGGGGGTGGATGGCGGTGATGGGTCCACAACAGTGTTAATATATTTAATACCACTGAATTGTACACTTAAAATGGTGAAGATGGTAAGTTTTGTTATGTGCATTTTACTACAACCAAAAAAAAAAAAAGAAGAAGAAAAAATTAAATGATACCACCAAAACAAAAGAATAATTACACATTTTAAATAAATGAACAAATAGCCATTCCACATGCAGGTATTTACACACAGGAAATATAAGCATATATCCACACAAAGACATGGACATAAACGTTCATAGCAGTTCTATTTGTAATAGACAAAAACTGGACACAGTCCAAATGTCCGTCAACAGCTGGATGGATAAATAATTTATGGTAACTCCATAAAATGGAATACCACTCAACAATAAAATGAATGTTGATTTTCTTTTCTCTAAACAAAACTTCCTTCAGCCACTACGCATGGACTCTCTACAAGAGGGAAAGTCCAATACCCTCAAGTCTCACGAGGAGCATTTTCCAGGGTCATTGGTGGCCTCTGGGGGAGGACGACTTTAAACAAAGTCCCTGGTTGGGGCGGGTGCTCTGTCCAAGTCCACTGCCTCTGTCCTGCCGGTCAAACCCACTGTGCCCCGGCCAGCGCGGGGCTGAGGGATAAGGTCTGGGACAATTCCTGAGTCAGGCAGGGATGAGCTATTTCAGGAAAGTGTCTCCCACACGGCGCCGCTGGAGCCAGGGCAGCCCGTGTGCTGCTGCCCAGCAGAGAAGTTTTGTGACCGCCCCCCTGGGGTTGACACATCCTTCTCTGTGTTTGGCTTCTATCTGGGGCAGAGGCATGTTACAGTTTACAAAGCCCTGGGGGTGTTCCAGGGGCACCCAACCAGAATTTCCAACTTGCATAAACTGAGCAGAACCTGAGCCCGGAATGAGGCCGGGACGTGCCGCAGGAGTCCGCTCTGCCGGGGCATTTGGCCCCCATGAGGCTGTGATCTGAGACGTAGCTCCCCTCCCCCTTCCCGCGTCCCTCTGAGATGATCAGCACACACCAGCCTCTTCAACTGGGCACAGCGCCCCAGAACTCAGGACACACTGGCACCACCTGTTTCTTCGCCCCCACGTAATAAAATTGGTTGAAGAGCCTACGGGATTTTGGAACCAGCGCCCTCTGGAGAGATTTCATACATCAACTCCTCCCCGGCAAAGAGGAAACGGCCAAGTAGGAGACAGGGAACAAAGTCCTATCACTGGGCGAAAGGAGACTCGAGTCTGCAGCGGCGGAGCAGAGAGACAGGCCAGCCACCCAAGGGAAGCTCCACTCAGAGCCAGGCTACCATGGACACCCTGGTCCGACTCCTGCAGCTGCTGGTGCTAATCCTGACCCTGCCCCTGCACCTCATGGCTCTGCTGGGTTTCTGGGAGCCCCTGTGCAAGACCTATTTCCCCTACCTGATGGCCATGCTGACAGTCAACTGCAACCGCAAGATGGACAGCAAGAAACAGGAGCTCTTCAGCCAGATAAAGGGGCTGGCAGGAGCCTCGGGGAAGGTGGCCCTGCTGGAGCTGGGCTGTGGCACCGGCGCCAACTTCCAGTTCTACCCATGTGGCTGCAGGATCACCTGCCTGGACCCGAACCCTCACTTTGAGAAGTTCCTGACAAAGAGTATGGCCAAGAATAGGCATCTTGAATATGAACGGTTTGTGGTGGCTTTCGGAGAGGACATGAAACAGCTGGCCAGTGGCTCCATGGACGTGGTGGTCAGCACCTTGGTGCTGTGCTCGGTGCAGAGCCCAAAGAGGGTCCTGCAGGAAGTTCGGAGAGTACTGAGGCCGGTGAGCAGACTGGGAAGTGTATGGGCACGGGGCAACAAACGTAGCATCAGACACCCCGGTGTCCAGGGCACCCAGGATGGGGAATCTCAGGCACTAGTGCATTAGACACCCACCCACCCCCACCTGCTGGTGAACAGGAGATATGACCAGGGCCTGGATGGGGCAGGATAGGGTGCTGTGGAATCACACAGGTGATCCACCTAACAAAGGGGGAAAGAGGGGTGAAGGACACCTAGGGATGTGGTGTTTAAACTGAGATCTGAGGGGTTAAGCAGGGGGTGGAGGGAGTGGCGGAAACAAAAGAGTGTTCTAAGTAGAGGTATTGGGGTAGTGGAATCCATAAACTTTGGAACTGGGTGTGGACAGAAAGGAGTTTAGGATGATTTCCAGGTTTCTGGCATGAGCGACTTGTGGAGGGAGTGAGGGAGGGTAGAGAGAAGTGCCATTTGCAAGATAGAAGAAACCTGTTTTGGACTTGTTAGGTCTGTGGTGCCATGGAGACAGCCAGGCAGAAAACCCAGAGGCACTTTTAAGTCCAGATCTGGAGGTCAGAAAAAGATGTAGCCTGGAGATTTAGATTTGGAAGTCATCAGCTTGTAGCTGGTAAATTCCAAGCGCATTGGAATTTGAGACCAAAACAGGAAAGGCCGTAGAATATCTGGCTTGTATCACCTATTGGACATTTCCTTTTAGATTCATGCTTTCTGGAAGGTTTAAATTCATTAACGTTAACAGTTACTTATAACTTTTGGTTGTTTTGTTGTTGTTGTTTTGGGTGCATGGGATCACCTAGGGAGGGTACAGTGAGGAGGAAAGAGCTGGAGGAACCCCAGCTTACTCAGGAGCCCAGTGCACCCTTCCGTGGGATGCTGGCTGAGATGTCCGGGATGCAGGCGTCTTGGTCTCGGGAGAGGGCTCAGCGCGAGCATCTCTGTATCCAATGAGATCTCTGCTCCTGGTTCCCCACCTCCCCATCTGTCTGCCCTCGGCTACGCTGGCCTTCGGGTCATTGTTTAAAAATATCTCACCGGTCATGGCCCCTAGGTCACAGGAGGCTCTTCACACTCACTTTGAGTTGGGGGGTAAGAGCCGGGGGATGCGGAGAAGGTCACAGAGCCGGACGATCTCCCTAAACTCGCAGGCCAGCACCTCCCACTCCACCAAGAGGTTTTGACCAGGCTTGGTCAGCGGGATGGAGTTGAGAGTAGAGGAAGGTTGCAGAATGGAGCAGGTAAGTGACGCTCTCTCTTCTCTCCCAGGGAGGAATGTTTTTTTTCTGGGAGCACGTGGCTGAGCCACGTGGAAGCTGGGCCTTCCTGTGGCAGCAAGTTTTAGAGCCCACCTGGAAACACATTGGGGATGGCTGCTGCCTCACCAGAGAGACCTGGAAAGATCTGGAGAATGCCCAGTTCTCTGAACTCCAAATGGAACGACAACCCCCTCCCATCAAGTGGTTACCTGTTGGGCCCCATATCATGGGAAAGGCGGTGAAATAAGCCCCTCCTTCTCCCACCTCTCCGCGGGGAGCCCCTCTCCTTCTCTAACTTCAACCCTTCCTTGTGCAGTGAAAAAGCTCTATTCCCATCCTGACTACGGGGAGGAAACAGTTATACCCTGTCATATCCCTAACTGCAAATTCCTCGACTGGGTCTCCCAGTTTTTGCCCACTACCCCTAGGACAGCTCCCCGTCCCTTCCCCGTGTTCCCCCCACTTCTGAGACCACACCCACGTGCCCCCAGGACCTGGTCACAAAAGTCACCAGTATCCCTGCCAGGCGCCCTGGGCTCCCTCCAACCACCACCTTTGTCCTGGGCTGCGGGGATGCAGAGAGAACCAGTCCTCTCTGGAGACCCTGCAGCACTCAGCAAAGAAGCCAGAGGCTTCATCCTCGCATCGTTTTTAATAAATAGACAAAACCCACGGATGGATGCAGCAAACTAAGGTCAGAGGAGAGGGGAAGCCAGGGAGGGAAGAGCCCCTGAGTCAGCGACATAACCTCCTCCCCACCCTCTGGGCTTAAGGCACTTTCAGGGAGATAGGTCCTCGGGGTCCCATTATACAGGGTGAATGGGAGAGGGAAGGATTAGGGTCCCTTCTCCCCACTTTTGCATCAGGACACCACTGCCCTCCTCACCCTCCCCCACGACCCATCCCTGATTTACCCCCTCTCATCTCACAGCATCCTAAGGGGAGGTTTGGGGGTGGGTGGGTGTGGTCCTCATGGGGAGAGAGGTCTGTGCCCCTGAGGAAACAGATCCTGCCACATCCTGATGGGACACCAGCAACCCAGCCTGCCCCCTTCATCCCTAGGAGCCATCTCTGGGGAAGGGGTGCAGGGGACCCATTGGCCAGGCTGGGAAGGAGGAGGCTAGGCAGTGCCTGGCACAGGGTGCCCATCGGAGCCTGGCTCCGGGTGCCCATCCGCAGCCAGGATGGGGTGTGCATCGGGCCCCCCGCCCCGGGGGCCGCCCCAGTTGTTCCTCAGGATGGTGCCCGTCTTCTCTTCCTTGAACTGTTGCCGGTCTTCCCGTGGGATCTTCACCGCGTGGTACTGGGGCACAGTGGCTTCGGGGTACCGCGCTCGCTTGAAGAATCCCATCTGGAAGAACAGCAGGCCAGACATGAGCAGGCTCCGGGGCTGAGGTCCCTGGAGCAGATGCCCAGCACAGCCCAGCCTCCTGCCTCCACCATGCCTGGGACAGAAAGAACCAACAGCAGCAGAAAGGGGCTGGCTGGGCAGCAGCTCGTGCAGGAAGCAGCCCTCACAGGTGCGACCATCAGTGCTGGGTCCCCAGGTTCTCACTGACAGCAAGAGAAAGACCAGGAGGGGCCTGAGGTGCAGGACCAAGGACATCTCCCTTGGTGCCTGAAAGAGGGGGTTGAAGGTAGAACATCAGGACTGCTGACCCCAAAGGTTTCCACACCCCCAAGATTTTTAAGAGACCCAGTAGCATCCCCTGGAACACAAACAAGAGCAGAGGGAAAACATGGCTTCCTAGAGCCCCGCAAACTCCAGAATGATTCCTCCCAAGCCTCATACGCACAACCCCTATGTGCTGAGCAGCGTCGCCCTTAGGCGGGCCCTCTCCTCTATGAATACAGTAGCCTGGCCCCTCCCTAAGTCATGAACATGCTGGCCCTTACCTACCAAGACAGAAATGTGCCCCTTGCACACTCACACTCAGGACTTCCCAGGACTCCTACATGCTGGACTGCATGGCACCTCCTTGCACATGTGTCTCTGCACACTCATGCCCACAGAAAAGACATGCACGGCACCTCCCTGCACTCCCCACATGCTCACAACCCCAGGAGCCCACCCAACCCTTGTGCGTGCCCCAGGCTGTGCACACGCACCCTTAGGGCCTCACCCTGACAACCACCTCCCCTCAGTTCCTGGAACTCACACCACCCTCATGCAATCTCCTTTCTACACCCTGCACATTCCTGGTCCCCTGAATGCTGGGAGCTCGACCTACACTCACATACATACCCACACACGCACACACACGCGCGCACACACATGCTCACACACAACAATTACCCCACGGTCCCTGGACCCCCAGCTTCCGCAGCTGAGGGCTGCACGGCCAGACGGGCCCGGTGGTAGTTGGTGGGGAAAGATGAGCTCTGGCTGTCCCGATGGAAGAAGCCACACTGGGACGTAAGGGAGGAAGGGAGCAGAAGAGGTGGAGGATGGGAAGACTGAGGAAGGATGGGCGCCTCTACCTCTGCCTTGTCCCCCTTCCATGGGAGCAGGAAGCAGAGATTCTGGAGCCAGTTTCTCGGAGGCATCAATCTCCCCTAAGAATGGCAAGGTTCCCGAGAGTCTGGACGCCCAGAGGCCTGGTCCACTGATGACTCACATTTGCCAGAGGGTGTGCTTGGTCCTGGGGAGGGGGGCAGTTCTCCATAGGGCCCCAAGGGCATGCATGGCTCCACATGGCCCAGATGTGGCATGTGGTTCAGGGGATGACCGCTGGTGATGGACGTGATTCTCTGTACTGACATGCGCATGAACAGGCTTTTAATGTGGAGCCCCAGACGCACACGTGATTCTGGCTACACTCTGTGTGTATGAGAATGGCTCCAGGTAGAGCCTGGTATGTGGAGGTTCCGAGTTCAGTCCTGGCAACAGTTCCCTGCAGGCAGTTCTCCACACTGCTTGGCTTTCTTGGCCACAGTTTCCTTCCCAGCCTTACCCACCATGCTCTAGTTAATTCAGACCACACTTCCCTGCCTCCATGGCTTTGCCCCTCATAGTCCTGAAAGGCCCACACCCACCCATCCCTCTCCCCACATCCAGATCCTACCACCCCACCTTCTAAGGCACAGCTCCAGGGCCACCTGCTCTCAAGCTTTCCCTCGCCTGAGCTCCCACTGCACTTTCTTGACTCAGTCCACTGCCTCGTCCTGGACTACTCCCCTCCCCAACTAGACTATAAAACCCCTGAGAACAGGATCTACATCTGACTTATCTCTGAAACATCCAGGGCCCGATAGAGACCCTGGTACACGCAGGGTAAGTGCTCAATGCAGATTTGCTGAATAAATGGGAGACTGGGTGAGAGAACCACACCATGAAAGGCCACCTGCCTGACAGGGGAGCCCTGCTCCCAGCGGCATCACCCTCCCCAAGCCTCACCTTCCACATGAGCAGCACCAGCAGCGCCAGCACCAGCAGCCCAGCCAGTACAGCCAGAAGGATGGCCCACCAGGGGACTCCTTCTGCCACCACAGCCACGGGGTCCAGGTATACCATCACTGGGATCTGGGGAGCAAGGGGTTAAGGGAACAAGGGCTGGAGCAACAGGACAGAAGAGCTTCCCCTGCTTCATGCCCCCAGCCCAGCAGCTCACCACTGTGGAGGCATCTCTGAGCAGCAAGTTCTTGATGGAGGACTTCACGGTGATGTTGGCTTGAACAATCACTTCCAGGGACTTCACAGCCGAGTACTCCTAAGGGAGCAGGGAAGGAGACCGTCCTCCTAAATGCCCCCACGCCCCCACCTCCCCCGAGCTCCTGAAGTTGTAAACGGAATGGTGCCCAACACAGAGGGTGTTTCTGCCTGTCTTGGGTTGAGAGTGTGCTGCATTTGGATAGGAAGGAGGAAGAAGAAGTGAACCCCAGGGCGGGGGTTGGGGAAGAGGATGCCCAGCCCAGCGCCCCAGCCTGACTCTCACCTCCAGGAAGGTGCTGTTCCAGAGGCGGCCCCAGACATGCAGCACAGCTGCACGGTCAAAGCTGTAGAGGGGGCAGCTGAACACCACGCAGCTGGCCGTGCCCCGGGTGCAGTCCTGTGGACCAGGACAGGCAGGGCTCTGAGCTGCTTGGCCCCAGCCCACTGAGCTGCCCAGGGCCCAGCACCCTCACAGACGTGGTCACACAGACACTGTCTACCCAGAGCCTTCCCTCCATCCCTCCATGAGCCCCCATTTTCCCCTGGCTCTTCATTCAATATCTCTCCCATTTTCCTTACCTGGCTTCAAACTCCCCTCCTCCAAGAAGTCTCCCCAAACTAACCCTGTGGTCCAAAATAGCAGCCTACCCCAAATCTGGGCTATTTGGCTTTGAAATGCATGGGGAGCAGGGAGGAGGTCTCTTGACAGCAGCAGGCAGAGTATCTTCCCCAGTAGATGCTTATGTTACCTAATGACAGTCCCATATATTGAGCATCTCTCTGCAAGGTACTTATCTCATTTAAATTCACAACTGTCCTGCAAGGTGAATATTATTATCATCCCCATTTTTCAAACTAGGAAAATTAAAGTTCAAAGAGGCCAGATGACCTGCCTCAGGTCACACAGCTAGCAAAGCTGGAAAGAGGTGGCACAGATACTTGAACCCAGGTCCAGAGGGGGCAAAGCTACGCTCCTCCGCGAAGCCCAAACTCACTGAATGAGCAGGAGGATGCCCGGAGCTGCTGGGGGGACAGGGGACTTAGGCCCTTCTCCTTCCAAGCCTGACCTAAATCCATTTGGCCCAATCCCACCTAATGGCCCATTTGCCTAAAAATTAACGTTCTATTCATCACGCTGCCTATACGGAAGAATGGCCACTTTCGAGCAATTCAAGAATCCTTGGTCGATCTGCCTAAAAGTCATTTTAAGTAAAAGAATCCATTTCAAAGTTCTTAGCAAAAAGGGTGGCCTTTCAGAAGAAATCATTCACCTGGAGAAAGCAGGACTATCCATGTAACAGGGAAACAGCAGTTACACAAGCTCATACCACCCCTGAGGTGACTTCATTTGCTTTCCACCATGCTCTCAGGGGGGCAGGGAAGCTGAGGGCCCCCAGGAAGGATGGGCTGTGGTAGCGGAACTTCCTCCCAGAGATGCCACCAGAGCTGGCCCAACTGCTGCCCTCCCCCTGCCAAGGTCTCTTTGCCTCTTTTTGCCTCTATTGCCCATCCTTTCCGCACCTGGGATTCACCTTCTGCCACCAGGCCAAGCACCCCCCGATCTGTGCCCCCCCCACTCTCACTACCAGCGCCATCCTAAGAGGGACGAGTACACAGAGTCTGCGCTAATCTACTCAGTGAGCCCCGCCAGGAACAAAGCCGTGTGAAACAAGGAGGAAACAGGGAGGCAAAAGGGCTCGAAGAGGGTAGGCTTAATGAATCACATAGATATACTATCGATTTAATTATTAGAACTTTTAAAACCTTCAAGTGTTTTTTGACATTGTGAAAATCAAGCAGGTTTCCTTATGCAAATTGACTTTCTGGCCTAAAAGAATTCAAAAGAATAACAAACAGATCTCAGAGATGGCTAAAACCACCCCCTATAAAATGTGACCTTTCATACAAGCGCAGGGAGAATCAACCGCGTGGGTAACGGGCTATGGTAAGTGCCCTGCTCTGGAGTGAACACCTGGTGGGCATGGGGGAGCGGCGCTGGTGATGTGAAGTGCCCTGTCACCTTG